GAAGTGGAAATTTCCTAACAGTTCTATAGCCTCTCGAAGATAAGTACAGACGTCTCTGTATCGATCCGCAAGACTCGACTAGACTCGTTCGTTACTCGTAGAACCTATGAACCTAGAGCTCTGATACCAACTTGTCATGACCCAAAATCCAACCACATGCGTCGTGATGGCACTTAGTCTCTAAGACTAGGTAAGCCGATTATAATAACAATTTAAGCCATTTATTTTTATATAGACAAGTGTCAAACTAACAACGGAAATATTCAAAAAACCTCCCAAGACTGGTAATACTGAGTCACGAACTCTAAATGAATACATAAAATGATCTCAAGGATCGAATACTCAATACTATTTGATTAATAATTAATAGTACAATAAAATGGGAAGACTCCAAGGGACTGCGACAACCAAGCAATCCTACCTTGAATTCTTGCGATCATATTCTAATCTCTGTCCGAATCCAATATCTCCAATACCTGGCTCTGCACAAAAATGTGCAAAAGTGTAGTATGAGTACACCACAGTCGGTACCCAGTAAGTATCAAGACTAACCTCAGTGGAGTAGTGGCGAGATACATTCAAGACACTCACTAGTCTAATAACCTGTGCAATATAGTACATAAAAATAATAGGAAATAAATAACAATGATGGCAACACTAATCAACCAGTGATATACACAGTAGGGCAATAAGAACACCATTAATATTACTCAAACAGGTAATGAACATAAGTACAACTAATAATTAACTCCTTCAAAATATACATCTTTCATCTATAAGTTTTTCAATAGAACTCTCTAGAATATAATCATTTCCAATATATATATTTCGAACATACTTCTTTCAATTAAATATCCTTCAATACAATTCTTTAAAATAATTATCTTTCGAATATAATTCTTTCAAATAATATCCTTCAAATATAATTCTTTCAAGTAAATGTCTTTCGAATATAACTCTTTCAAATAATATCCTTCAAATAAAAGTCTTTCAAATAAATGTCTTTCGAATATAACTCTTTCAAATAATATCCTTCGAATAAAAGTCACCTTGTGACACCTCATATCATAATCATAAAATACGTGTCTCATCCCACTTTAATATTTTCACAGCACCTCGTGCCAATATCTCTATCACAATCGCACGGACAACTCACGTGCCAATATTATCATCATATTTTCCCCCGCGCCTCGTGCCCATATTTCATATCTGTTGTGGCGTGCAACCCGATATCATATAATATTAATCATACCTGTTGCGGCGTGCAACCCGATCTCATATAATATTAATCATACCTGTTGCGGCGTGCAACCCGATCCCATATAACATAATCTTCCCGGCAATAACCACATGCTCCCAATTTCAACATAGATCAAATCAATTGGCACGACAACACCCTTCGTGCATTTATCTCTTTCTCACCGTGCATACATATAACAATACCAACTAGGTGAAAGAAAAGTCAATAACAATAAAAGAAATAAAGTGGGAGGTACACAGTAAGCGACAACGACTACAAGTCACATAGAAAACCTAGGTGCACAATAACATCTCAAGATAAAGGCCTAAATAAATACACAATGAAAAGTTATCACAATATAATGTATGTCTCTTATCCTCGCCTGCACGGAAACACCCTTCGTGTCATGAACATATAACAATATAAAAATAATGGTACGGAATCACCCTTTAGTGATTTTACTCTCATCCTCACCTAATAATATAAATGAAATGACACGGAATCACCCTTCGTGCTTTTACACTCTCAATGGAATGACATCACCTTTCGTGCTTTACGCTCTCAATGTCACGGCATCACCCTTCGTGCTTTTCACTCTCAATGGCACGACATCACCCTTCGTGCTTTACACTCTCCCTCACATGATAATATAAATCAAATGGCACGACATCACCCTTCGTGCTTTACACTCTTCCTTACCAAGCACATATATATCATTAACAAGCAAGATAGGAAGCATATATAACATCAAGGAGATTGCGCGACAATACAATATAATAATTCATATCACAATTTGTCCAATGACCACAACCAATTCCAAAGATATAGCAAAATCGATAAATTTCTCAACAAATAAGCCAAGGATCCGCACAACGTATATATAACCTCAAAACAACAATAGAGATGGAAAAGTAACTCAACATAGGACAACGCCTTCTTTAATCCAAAATTTTGATAAATATATTAATGCCTCTTTTTAAGCTTATTTAATACTCCCTCCATTCCAATTTATGTGAACATGTTTGACTGGGCACAGAGTTTAAGAAAAAATAAAGACTTTTGGAATTGGTGGTCCTAAACAATTCAAAAAGGGGCCCAAAGTATTTGTGTGGTTATAAAAGTTTGTCATTAAGGGTAGAATTATAATTTTAAGGAAAATTATTTCCAAATTTAGAAAGAGGTCATTTTTTTTGGAACGGACCAAAAACGAAATAGGTTCACATAAACTGGAACGGAGGGAGTAACTATTTGCAAATAAGAATTTCATAATTAATTTAATTCCAAGAAAATTATCAAATCAATCACACACGGAATTCACATAAAAATTCAAGTGACAATAACACTAAATTATCATATAAAATACAAATTTGACAAACAAGGAAGGGGGCATGACAATTCAAGGATTTACTAAGTTCCAATAATTTTTCAATCTAATACATAAGGGCGTCTACAAGTTTCAACCAATAATAATTGCACATATAAACTATGTACGTACTCGTCACCCTCGTGTACACGGCTTTCACATTACACAAATGGCACATACAACTCAATGCTTAAGGGGTAATTCCCCCACTCAAGGTTAGGCAAGATAGTTACATTTTTGAAGTTATGTCGATATTCCAAAATCGCCTTCTTGCTTGAATTGACCTACGGACAGCTCAAATCTATCCAAATTAATTGTATAACTTTATTAAAATTCATCGAAAATAATTCCGGATAATAAAACGTCAACTTAAAATTTTATTTTAAAAAGTCAACCAAAGTCAACGTAGGTCCCGCCTCTCAGAACCCGGCACCCATTCTGATACGAGTCCAATCATACTAATTTCAATCAAATCCGACTCTGAATCGGTATTCAAATCCCAAAAATTTGTTTTATGAAATTTCTATAATTTCTCCCAAATTTCTATCTCAAAATACTGATTAAATGATGAAAACAATGATATATTCATGTATGTTAACCAAATCTGAGTTAGAATCACTTACCCCGATGAATTTCTTAAAAATCCCACGAACAATCGCCACAAACCGAGCTTCCAAAGTCCAAAAATAAACTTTTATCCTAACCCTCATCTATATAGTACCACGTCTAATCTCCTAATGTGCGGTCCGCCTATTTTCAAGTGTTGCCGCACATTTTCAAGTTCTGCGGCCGCACAAGTTTGAGTGCGGCCGCACTTCACTGTGACAGCTTACCAGGCTTCAGTAAAATACCCATAACTTTCTGTACAAATATCCGAATGATTCGTTCTACACCGTTTTAGAAACTAGATTCAAATGGCTACAACCTTCGTTTTTTAATCATCTCCAAATTCGTTGTGGATTAAAAGATATAAGCCTCTGAAGTCAGACCATCAAACTTGCAGAACCCCTGAAGTGCGGCCGCACACAAAATTGTGCGGTCCGCACTTTTCCTCTGAAGTGCGGCCGTATTCAAAATTGTGCGGTCCACACTTTTTCTCTGCGATCCGCACTTTTCCAAAAATTCTAGAACATTAGAGTGTCGAAATATCCGGACTCGCTCAAAACTCATCCCGAAACTCACCGAGCCACTCGGGATCCCGTTCAATTATACCAATCAGTCCTAAAACATTACATGGACCTGCTCGAGGCCTCAAACTACATGAAACAACGTCGAAACTATGAATCACACCACGAATCGAACTAATAAATTTCTAAATCTTCCAACTTCTAAAACTCATGTCGAAACATATCAAATCAATCCGGAATGACATCAAATTTTGCACACGAGTCATAAATGACATAATGGAGGTATTCAAATTTTCAGAATCAGATTCCGGTCCCGATATCAAAAGTCAACTCCCCGGTTAAACTTTCAAACTTAAATTTCTATTTTAACCATTTCAAGTCTAATTTACCTATGGGTTTCCGAATAATTTTTCGGACACGCTCCTAAGTCCAAAATCACCATACGAAGCTATTGGAATCATCAAAACTCTATTCCAGGGTCATTTTCTCAAAAGTCAACTCTCCGGTCAACTCTTTTCTTTTTAAGCTTCTTAAATAAGAATTGTTCTTCCAATTTGATCCCGAATAATCCGAAAATCAAACTCGACCACATACGCAAGTCATAATACATATCACAAAGTTGATTGGGACCTTAAGTCATTAAACGAGATACTAATTCATAAGACGACAAGTCGGGTCGTTACACTTTTTCTTTACCAAGACCCTGAGGGATCCTCACTGTAAGGCCTTGTATCATGCATGCATTAGCAGAGAAGATTAGAAGACAATTGTATTGTTTGCAAATTTTTTGAACTGAAAGTAGATTGTATTTGAAACAAGGCACATATAGGACATTTTTAAGAGTCAGATTATCGGGAATAGATACATCTCCAATATGAGTTACTCTTATTCTATATGAATTAGGAAGATTTACCATTAAAGATTTTGGAAGAAGTGTGATTGTTGAAAGAATTGTAGGGTCTGAAGACATATGTTCAGAAGCTTCTGAATCCAATATCCAAGAGGTGATTTTGAAATGAGAAGATTTAGAAGTTGAACCATTAAAGGCTATACCTGCACAATTGGCAATATTTGCAACAACATCTGAGCTTGAAGACACTCTCTGACCACCCTTCACATGTTGAAGAAATTGAACTAGCTGAGAAACTTGATCTTGTGTGAGTTGTTGATTTCCATTGTTTCCATCAACAATGCTTTGCGCTCCTGCTTCACTCACAGAATATGTTGCATTGCTCTTAACATGTGCTTGGAACTTCTTTGACCTTGTGAACTAGAAGTCTGCTGGAAATCCAATGATGCTGTAGAATTTGTCCATTGAATGCCCAGGTTTTTTATGGTAAGAGCAGCTCAAATTGTTTTTCTTTCCCTTGAAATCAGAGTTTCCAAACTTCTGACTTGGATGATTTTGATTTGCATCCATGAAGGATGAAGAATCTCCAGGGAATTGAGAGTTGATATAAACTTCCCTTTGCTTCTCATCTTGCATCAACAAGGAATATGCATGTTCCACAGTTGGAAGGGGTGACAACATCAAGATATTGTTATTCACTGAGGCATAGGTGTCATTCAACCCCATGAGAAACTTAATTAACCTCTCATCTTGAAGTGATTTGGCCATTTTTATCTTTCCTCCACAGCTACATTCACAGGAGCACTTGACATGAGTATTCAAGGTATCTTGCTATAGCCTCATAATCTTAGTGAAATACCCTGCTACGTCACTTGACCCCTGAACCAAATCACTCAATTCTTTTTGTAAATGATACATTTTTGCACCATTTGATTGATCAAATCTATCTTCCAAATCATCCCACAGATCTTTGGCTGTTTTGGAGCAGATGACACTTTCACCAATCTCTCTGGAATGGGAGTTCAACAATCAAGATATGACCATGTCATTACACCTACTCCATAACTTAAAGTCAGGTATTTCTGAGCTTGGTGCAAGGCAGGTTCCATCTATGAACCTCCACCTTATTTTTGGCAAAAAGAGCAATAAGAATGGACATGTGCCACTCTCCAATGCATCTACCACCAAAGCTTGTATTTACCAGGTTCATTCCTGGTAAATCTGAGGGGTGAAGGAAGTAGGGATGACTTGAGTCCTTCATTCCACATCCATTATTTTCAGAAGTGGTGACACTTGCTGAAGTGGCCTCAGTTGTTTCAGAAGTAGAACTCATTGAAGATAGTAGAATGAAGATGAAAATGAACTGGAAAAAAAAAACTAAAGGATCGATTATTTAGAGCTACTGCTCTGATACCATGTAGAGATTGAAAGACAAAATTTAGGAGAATTTTCTGTATATCTTATTGATGTAAAACTCTGGTATTTATACAAGTATTGTAACAGATGAGAGCAAAAGAAAAAATTTATACTTGCACTACCTATTGGCTATTAAATACAAACAAATTACAACTTTGTACAATATTTGTATACCGTTAGGCATATCCAGAGCTGTATTACAACTATCTTTTGTTTCCAATCGGACGACTATTGTGGTCCTCATCAGCTTTCAATCTACAACTTTGGTGTTCCCACGTGTCCCTTGTCAAAAATCAGAATTTGGGCTTGGGTCTTCAACTTTTGGACCATTTTTCTCTTTTCGGACCCTATCCCCAAATTCATCTGCCTCTTTCCTCTTCATAGTCGACTGGTCTTCTTTCTTATGAGAAGTGAAGAAGAAGTAGGTAATTTAGGCTTCATAGATGCGATTCCAACATAATCCACAACTGACTCACCGGCCAGTTAGTCACCATTCGGTCGGAGAGCCAGAGTTGCAACTCTGGCGATTAGCAAAATAATAGAAAATGTTGAATACACGGTCAATTTTTGCTTAACTATAAGCACAAAAAGAGTGTAGTAAACGCAAGACAGGTTGCAAAAATAAGAGTAGAAGTTGAAACGGGTAGTTTTGCGGGGCCCCAAGATATTAAATAAGCATCAAGACCGGCGATGATTCCGACGCTGGCAGCTCCGATGAATTCTTGACGAGTTATAAAGAATATTTTGGCCTACGGTCCCTCAATTGTCAGGAGTTGAAAATATGAGACGGCTAAAGCAGAGGCAGATTTACGTGGAGGGGGTGGGGTACATGCACTCATGCTCCCCTCCCTAGGCTATGTATAAACAGCACCAATTTTGCAATTATCTATATAAATATGTTTGTGACCACCCATGCTCAATTGATTACCTTGGTGCATTGGTAAGTTGGTGCCCCTTTGTACCCCGAGGTCAAGGGTTCGATCTTCTGTCCCTTCACATTTTCTATATTAAGTTTTTTTTAAAGTTTCTTTTGGTTAAAAATATGGTTCACGTTTTTAGGAGGAATTTGGGTATATACTAATATATCAAATCCCTATTCCTAAAAGCAAACTTCACAGTCTGTCTCCCTCTCCTTTTCTATATTAATTTTTTTTTAAAGTTCCTTTTGGCTAAAAATATAGCCCATATTTTTAGGAGGAATTTGGATATATACTAATATATCAAATCCCTAATTTCTAAAAGCAAACTTCACAGTCTATCTCCCTCTCAACTCTCTCTCTAACAGCTCTAGCCTCCGTGAATGGATTCTTCAAGAAAGCAATATTTTTTCTTCACGACCACGTTCCTTTAAAATTCTCAGCTTCAGGTATCTAACTACTCTCTCCTTACTCTGTATTTTAATTCTCTCGCTGCAACTTTATTGAAGAACTTGTTCAAATCCAAACACAATTAAAGTGCCAAACATACATGTACAGAACTACAAATGCCTAATTTTTGTGCTATTAACTTCTTCATCTGTTGACTGACATGCTTTAATATGATTGATTTGAATTTAATAATTTATTTGAATTAAGATAGATTAAATAGAAGTGTGAATATTTAATTTTGTAGGAACGATCCATAAGATTAAAATGGATAGATTTCTCACCAAGCCGAAAAATGGTGAACCAAGTTCTAGTAACAAACTTCGAGAACTCGGTTTCCAACTTGATAGTTTCATCGTCTATGCTCAAAAGTGTGATAGTAGATTTCTTAACCTGAAGGGGATTAAGGATTTTGCTAGAGCGATGATAGTGACAAAATTGGATCTTACTTGGCCACTTATTTATTTGCTTGTGAAGTTGACTTTGCTTATACCCGTTGCTACCGCAAGCGTGGAAAGAGCATTCTCATCAATGAAGTACATCAAAAATGAGCTACGTAATAAGATGGATGATGATTTTCTCAATGATTGTTTAGTTTGTTATACATAGCGTAAGATATTTAAAACTATAAGTAATGATGCTATTATCGACCGTTTTCAAAGTATGAAAACTCATCGAGGACAATTGTAAAGTGAATGATATTTTTTGTGAATACAATATTAATATAGTTTGCTCGTGAACTTGTTATTACCATAAATTTTATATAATCGAACCAAAAATTTATCTTAAAGATAATGGTGCACTCATGTTGTTAAAATCCTGAATACGCCGCTGGGCTAAAGGGATAGGATTATGGGATAGGCAACAGTTTGCAACCAACTAGAAAGCCAAAGTCCTTGACCACCATTGATGTAGTAGAGACGAAGGATCAAAGGGCCATCGCAGTTGCCTATCGCAAACATAATTATGTTCAAAATTAATAGGACAAGTTTCTTCATTTTTGCTGCTCTACTGAGTTTTTTTATTGTTGACTATTTATAACATGCTACATAACCAAATACTACATGATTTACAACAGTAATTAAGCCTTTTGCCTTAAATTAATGTTGGCACGTGAACGTATTTTATACCATACTTAGGTTGTTACCATTTTCTATAATGCATACCGTGTATATAATAGACTTTGGTAAGCGCTTGGCCAAAATAACTTAAAAGTTAGTTTGCATTAATGCTTTCCATATCCCAAAGATTATGGCGCCCTCTAAGTAGGGGTGGGCATAATACCGATCGAACTGAAAAAATCGATCGAGCCATAAAAATCGATCGAATCGTAAATTTCGATTTATTCAGTTTCGATTTTTCGACTTATTCGGTCGATTTGCGGTTTATGTTTTCTATAATTTCGATGTTCGTTCGGTGCTCGGTTTTCGGTTAAACCGAAAAATCGAAATTTTTTAATATGGGTCGTAGCTTCGGGGCTCCTCTTAAGTTATCTAGTCCAATTTTTCTACATATTTACATTATAAAATATGAAGCCCAAAATTAAATAAAGTCCCACGTTCTGTAAATTGTCCATTCCGCCTGATCCTTTACTTTTGGTACCTTCTGGAGTCATATCTTTCTAAGAATGGAAAATCAAGTACACCAACACCGTCAGTTCGTTTTTTTTTCTTTTGTTGTACGAGAAGAAAAATTAACAATAACAACATGTTTGTCAATGCATCTTTATCTTTGTTTTACTCCGATAGTTATATTGTAAGTAACTTTTGTAAGTAAATTTATATTTCCTATATCAACTAAATGATTTGGCTAATTATATTATAAATATTAGTTTTAGTTGCACTGAAACATAAATTAGTCATATTTTTTCGGTAGAGGCTCTAAGGGCAAATTGTATCGTGATTCATGACACGTAGTTTAGAGAATTTATCTCAAAATTTGTTTTGGCGCTATATATGCTTTCTTCAATTCGTTTGTGCATTATACTGAAAATATGTTCACTTTTATTTGTCCACTATACAAAAAAATCATATTTTATCTTTATAATTAATTACTTATTTTCCAAATCATTTCCCAAAACTTTTGAAAATATTATCATTATTATGGATATAATTATAAAATATAATATTTTATTTATTTTTTCTTAAGGGGCGTGAAAAGTTCCAAAGTGAAAAATTAAAAGTGAACATAGGGAGTAATTGAACCTTGGTTAATTCAACGACTTATCTCAATGGTATATTTAGTAATCATAATAATGAACAGTAACGCTTCAGCTAGCTGTCTTTCTCCAACCTTGAAACATTAAAATGAGATGACATATCTGATGAAACGGGATTCTTTTATTAATTATCACAATGTTTCTTATAAAAATAATCAATGACAGTTAAAATAAGAAGAGTCAACTCTGCTAGCGTCATTCATAAATATACCCCCGCAGTCATTCTCAAATATATATATATTTTTCGGGTATGAGTAATGAGTCTTTTTAATTAATTATGAGATATTTAAAATTGACCAACATGGCGATGATACGTGTTCCTCTGTTTAAGTTAGGGGTATATTTGAACCCAAAGTATGACTGAAGGGGTATAGATAACCCAATAATATAATGAGGGGTATTCTTAGACCATTTTCGAAAGTAGAGGGGTATATTTGGCCCTTTGCCGTANCACAGGCTAAAAGTAATTTTTGCCCATGCTATTAACCAGGGTTGCAAACAATACTAGAAGAATTAACCCAAGTAGCCGCCCATCCAATCACTTAAACTAAAAATAATCGGTGGAGGTATAATATATGTATAATTTATGTATTATATTTGAATAATTAGGTATAAATATTATATAATTTATGTATATGGCTAGAAAAGGTAAACAGTAAATATGATCGGCTATATGTGTAAAGATCCCAAAATACTACTCTTCCTGACTGACCCAATAATCGCCTTCTTAGCTGGCCCAATTCACCTTCAAGCCCACTTGTCTTTTCTATCGTAAGTCGTAACAAAGTTCCTGTAGGAGAAAATGACATAAATAGGATATTATCGATGTTATTTGATTTTTTTATCTCAGTAACAAATGTTTTAGGAAAAAAACTTCATGCTAGAATATTTAGGTTTTCTCGGCAGGATTATTCTCGATCATTAGAACTTTAAAGCATATTAGATTTTAAAGTACGCAACAGTTATGGTGATCGTCAAGATTTTGGCATAAAATCTGACGGATTACTAGAACTTTTCAACATTGTGATCAAAAATTTCGGTGATAGTCATAATTTCTTGTGCTTCAAAATTTTGGTGCTGAAAATTCTATTGATCGTCAGACTTTCTAATGCTTTAAAATACTGGCGAGCACGTTTTAAAACACTGACATGGGACTATTTTTTTAAAATATTTTTTAACAACGTCAAAAGATAAATAATTATTTAAAAAGGTCTACCTGGCGTCATTTTCAGTTATTGTAATCTTGTCTCATTGTCTTTAATCTCTGAGATTCTTTTATTAGGAGTATCTTTTTTTTCAAAAATAAAAAATAAATTATTGCTATTGATGTGCAAGCACTTAATTTTGTTGGTGCATAACAGCTTAGACATTTCTAATTAATGGCAGCTTATAACTGAGTTGTCACTTTATATCTTAAATCGCAGGGAACTTTACATAATTGTCACAGTTTAAAAGAAATATAATAAATTCTTAGCATGAAACCCAATATTACAGTTGTGGCAGGAAAATATTTATATTTGTAACACATAGTTCCATTAAAATAAGAATATTAATTATTAATCCGTAAACATAAGCAATTTGAATGGAAAGTAAATAATTCTTTGCACAAAAATCATGCCTTTTTTTCTCTTTATCTATTAGCTTTCCTTCTTTTTCTTCATCTTCTTAATTTTATTTTCTGCCGAAACCAATAAATTTTCTAAATTTGTTCCATTCGTTTTCTTTTTAATTATCTTTCTTGAGTTTTTCTCTTCCTTCTTTCTTCCTTTCTTAACATAAAGATCTTACTTCGATAATAATATATGTTGATATATACAAAACGTATATATAAAAAAATATACATTGAATTAACACTTATAAAATATACAAAAGATATACATAAAAAATACATCCTCAATTAAGATGACACTTAGACATATGAAATATACATAAAAATATATATATTAAATTTAATTAAGATGGCATATAAATATACAAAAAAATATACATAAAAAATACATCTTGAATTAAAATGGCACTTGACATATAAAATATATTTAGAATATACATTAAAAATGCATCTTAAAATAAGATGGCACTTCATAAATAAATATTCAAAAATTATATATAAAAATACATTTTGAATTAAAGTGATACTTGATATACAAAGTATAAAAGACATATAAATCAATACATCTTGAATTTAGGTGGCATTCACATATGCATCAATTTTTAAAAAATGGAGTGAAGAAGATGAATGTTGGAAAGGGAGAATGGAGATGAAAAAAAAAGTACTTCATGTAATTAGTGAGTCAGTTAACTTTTTAAATATTAAACTTATTTTTATAATATTCTAATAATAAAAAAGTTCTCTTTATGAAATAAATAATAAATGATGCTATTTTTTAAAATAATAGTTAAAAAGGGATCAAGCGTGAAAAAAACTCAAAATGATATCATATGAAATCTTCAATTATATAAAGTGATGAAGTAAAAAAATGAACTCTTTTTGTCCTTAAAGTTAAACAGTAAGTTCATCGGAAAAAAATATAAAGGTTATATTTGAAAATTAAATGACAACATTTTTACTGAGCTGCCACTTTGTATCTTCGGTAGATGTGGGACTTTCCGACGCGAATTCAGATTTAGTCGGGCCCCAACGTAGATATAGGACATCGAGTGGGAAACCAAAAAAAGATATTTGAATAATATTTTTTTGAAGCTCAAAGAAAATTATTTGAAGTTAAAGTTATAAAAAAGTATTTGAAAGTTAAAATTGTGCTTGAACGTAATTTTACTTTTAGAAAAAACCGAAAGATTCTGATTAAAGGCATAATTTAACTTAAAATAAATCTTGAATAATTAATATTTCATTAGTATTTCAAAGACTAAAGTTCAGTACGTGTTCGAAAACAATGAATCCAATATTAAAATATAGCTAGCGTTTGGATATAAATTTGGTTGAAATTTTAAAAAAATAATTAAAGTTGTGTTGGAAAATAATTTTGAGAGTTTATGTGTTTTGATATATATTTTATTTGAATAAAAGTTGAAGTTTTTTTATTAGAAGAAAAATTCACGGAAAAACTATACTAAACTAATTTTTAGGAACTTTATAATTTTTTCAAGTTTTTTTTTTAAAAAAACTAATCACATTCCATGAATAAATAATATTTTTAATTTTTCTTAAAAAATAATGGCCGCATTATTTATGGATTTCTCTTCTCATTTCCCGACCTTGACCTTTTTTTTTGTTTTTTCTCTTTCTCAGTAAAAAAGGGTTAGGAGGCAGGTTTGCGTGTTCGAGACTTAACATAATTTTGTCTGTAGCTTACTAAAGATTTTAACTGGGTTGTCTATTAATTTTGATAAATAATTTTGTTAATTATATTTTATTTAATTTCCCAACCTGGCTTTTAATTTATATTTTTGGATCGACATTGTTGTCTTTCTCAACCTTCCGATCTACCGTACATTTAGTTCGACAATTATCGTTGCGATGCTGTTACTCAACAGAAGAATGAATTCAACCACAGGAAATGAGCCCCTTTTACACTTCAAAGACAGAGCAGAAGAAGAAGAATCAAAAGCAGATAACTTAGTCAAAAAAACATGCCAAGAATCAAAGAAGATATGGGAAATAGCTGGACCTTCCATTTTCAGCCGATTGGCCATGTTTTCTCTCACAGTTATCAGTCAATCCTTCGCCGGCCACTTGGGTAACCGTGACCTCGCCGCCATTTCCCTTGCCACCACTTTCTTCATTCCCATTACTTTCGGCTTCTTGGTATGTCATTCTTTTTGGATTAAAAGCAAAAGGATTGTTAAGTTATATGCACTAATAGTGTGTAATTTGTGAAGGAGTTAGCTACATGCCTTGATGTACCATAGTTAGTTGTATGTACCATAGTTAGTCGCTGGATCAGTTAGTTAAAGTAGTTAATTATGTAGTTAGTGGAAGTTTTACACGTTTTTGTACACAATTCATTTCATACAGAAGAATAGCTTTGAGCTCTGCATGTGCTCTCAATTTTCGTCCCCTGTTCTTCTCCTCTTCTTTCGTTCTAGAGTTGGTGATTCGATGTGTTTTGTCATGGTATCAGAGCTTCCCGTCGATGGGATCTAGGGATTGTTCTTCGCAGATTGAAGACGATCGATAGATTCATCGACATTTCTCGTGAAAATTCGAATCCTAATTCGTAGCTGCAACGAACCCTAGATTTGTTCGTTATCTTCAATTTTGTTCATAATCCTTTGCTATTTCTTCAAATTTACAGTTCTATATTCTGTATAATTGAGAATTTTAATGGCGATTGATGAGATATCTTATTTGGGGACATCTGCTCCAGCTCCAGTGGCCATTGACCACAACCATCCCCTGTATCTTCATCCTTCTGATGCTCCTGGTTCACTATCTGTTGGCATTCAGTTCGTAGGTATGGAGAATTACACTTTATGGGATAAAGTGATGAGAGTTGCACTCCTATGGAGGAATAAGCTGGGTTTTATAGATGGCACGATCAGTACGGACACATTTGGGCCAACCTTAGGGCACCAATGGGATAGGTGCAATGCCATAGTTGTTTCATGGCTTACTGGAAATGTGAGCAAAGAATTGTTGAGTGGAATTCTTTTTCGTTCGAATGCATATTTGGTCCGGAAGGAATTGCAGGAATGATATAATAAAGTGAATGGATCACGTCTGGATTCTCTTCACAAAGAGATCTTCACTTTGACTCAGGGTACATCATCAGTATCTGTGTATTATTAAAGGTTGAAAGATTTATGGGATGAATATGATTCAATGAATGCCACCTCCTTCATGTGATTGTGAGAAGTCGAAGGATTTTGCAGTGCATCTGCAATATCAACGCTTACTGCAGTTTCTAATAGGATTAAATGAAGGATATAGCCAGGCAAGGAGTCAAATCCTTATGAAGTCGAAGGTGATCAATGTGAATCAAGCATATGCCCTAATTGTTCAGGATAAGAGTCAGAAAGTTGTGGCAGGAAGTAATCATGTCACTGCAGAAGCCATGGAGTCAGCCGCTATGTTCACAACTAGAAACAATGTGCCAAAGCAGAAAAGAAATTGGAATGTTGAATGTGACTATTGTCATGGAAAAGGGCATACAAGGGATGGCTGTTTTAAACTAATGCATTGTGGTTACTGCAACAAGAAAGGACACCACAAGGAGAGCTGTTACAAGTTAATTGGATACCCTCCAGGTTTCAAGCATAAAGCTAGAGCCAATGTTGCTGGTGGTAGTCCCTTGCAATCTGAAACAAATGCAAACAGTCAAGCCAGCACTGCTGCTCCAATGATCACTCAGGAACAATACAATATGCTGCTTAACATGCTCAGTAAAGCTTCCACATCTGAGACAAGTGAACTCATGGCAGTTAAGTGTCTCTTGGTTAAAGAAAATGTAGTTTGTTGGATAGTAGACACAGGGGCCACAAATCATATGACAGGAAATGAATGCTTATTGTTGAATGATGGTAAAGTAGGCAGTGTAGGGAATGTACAGATGCCCACATGAGACTCTGCTAAGGTCACAAAAATAGGAAACAATCCATTAACAGGAGGTGATGTCTTTAAGGATGTACTTTGTGTGCCAAGGTTTAAGTTCAATCTCTGGTCAGTGTCCAAACTGATCAAGGAACTAAATTGTTGTGCTATGTTCTTTCCTGAACATTTTGTGTTTCAGGACATCTGCACTGGGAGAGTGAAGGCGACTGGTAGTGAAGAAGAGGGTTTGTATGTGCTGAGGACACACTGTAAAGAGGCTGGATTAAATGGAATAAAATCTATGGCAGTAGAACAAATGATGGAACCTGTAGTTTGGCATAGAAGATTAGGTCATGTGCCTATGACAGTTATTAGAAGAATTTATGCATTTAGGAATAAAGAAGCCTTTCATTTACAACATTGTGATGTATGTCCTTTATCTAAACAAACAAGGCTACCCTTTCCAGTTAGCACTAGTAGAGCAGAAGCACCTTTTCATTTCATACACATGGATGTATGGGGTCCTTATAAGGCCACAACTTACAATGGAATGAACTACTTTTTGACTCTAGTTGATGATCATACTAGATGGACATGGCTGTTTCTAATGAGGGTGAAGTCAGATGTTTCTGAAATTCTTAAAACCTTCATTGCAATGATACTTAACCAATTTGGAAAAATGATTAAAGTTTTCAGATCAGATAATGGATCTGAGTTTTTTTAACACGACTTACAATGAGTTGTTCACACATCATGGGATCTTGCATCAAAGCTCTTGCCCATACACTCCTCAACAAAATGGAGTGGTTGAGAGAAAGCATAGACATGTTCTAGAAACAGCAAGAGTAATCAGATTTCAAGCCAATTTGCCAATTCATTTTTGGGGATCCTGTGTCGAAGCAACAACATACATAACAAACATAATTCCATCTACTGTCCTGAAGGACAAATTACCTTTTGAAATTCTATACAATAGACCACCATCTCTGTCTCATATGAGAGTGATTGGATGTCTTTGTTATGCAACTGCACTACCAAAGCAGGATAAATTTGGTGCAAGAACAATAAAATCAGTTTTGCTGGGATATGGTGTTTATCAGAAGGGATACAAGCTTTATGATTTATCTAACAAAGTGTGTTTTATCATTAGAGATGTTGTGTTCCATGAAAGCATATTTCTCTTTCAGATTTGTCAAACAACTCAAAATAATCCAGTCACTGATGTAACAAAGTTGCAGAGATTTTTGTGTAGTGGATGATCCAGATATTTCAAGCAGAAGCATTTTACCTGCTCAACACACTGAAGCCATCACGACACCACAGAATCAAATGCCACAAGAAGATCACAGTACTTCAGAAGATCTTGATAAGGAGAATGCTGAGATTTCTGAGCCTCATGGAAATATAGCAGATCATGTTGATCACTTAGAAGAAGTTGAAGAATCACATGCAGCAGGTTTGACTAAAAGAAAGTCATCAAGAACAACTAAGCCCCCAATATGGCTTAAGGATTATGTGAGGACAGACAAGAAATCAGGAGCACATACATGCCTATATCCTATTTCAGATGTCATAAGTTATGACTACTTGTCTCCTAAGTATCAAAGTTTATGTTCGGATTGAGTATCAGATAGTCCTGTTACACCCCATATTTTCGTACACAAAAGTACGTCGTAAGTCAATTAATGTAAGCTTAGAAATGAGATTATCTTTGATAGTACACAAAGTAAGTTAATCATGTTACCTTGAAGGTTACAAATACTTAAGATCATGAACTGCATGTACCAAGAGGGTTGGACGGTTTAGAAGCTAAATGAATCGAAGAAAATAAGTTTCGTCGAAAGTCGACAAGTTGGGAATATTATAACTTATACTTTGGGGTGAGACTAGAGTAATTAACACGATAATAAGGTGATGTTATGAGGTATTATAGTTTTATGATATTCGTGTGTTAAGTTTTAAAGTCAAGCGAGTTATGAAACCAAATTCGACGAAAGTCATCGTAAGTTACGTTCATAAATTGTACTAGAATTTGGGTTTAATGTCAGTGAGTTTTTCTCTTTATATACTTGGAGTTAAGTGATTATCCACTCACAAAATATAAGATCTACGAGTCTAGTTTCTAACGCATTAAACCGTCCGTCGATACGACGTTGGAGTAAAGAGATATTCGCATATTTGCGAGACTGCGCAAGCAGCTCCTTATGGGACCCACTTAGGCGGTGGCCGACCTACCTCACTTTAAAAATGATTTGGACGACCATTCTTATCATTTTTCGACCCAATCCCTACCTAAATAGATTCCATAAGGGTTTGAAGGCGAATTCAAATGGTTACACTATAATTCAACATGAAAAGTTAGTCCTAGTGAAGAACAACACCTCTTTGAGGTTGTGTTATCATTGAGGATTATTGTGGGTTGTGTTTGGATGAAATTGCAAGTTGTTGCTACTGGTTAGGGTAAGTATAACATCCTAATAATTGTGCTTAAGCTTTCTTGTATGTTGGTTAAGTTGTTAGGATGATAAACTACAAGATAATACTTGGATTAGCTTGAGATGTTGTTCTTGATGGATTGTTTTGAAAGTTACTCTTATGAATTTTAAGTGGCTAGAAATTATGGGAAGTAAATTGGCTATGATTAGTGGTTGGCAAATGGGCAGGTTGGTCCGATTTAGGTGGGTTAAAAATAGGTTAAGAAAAAATAGTTTGGGTAGATAGCTAGGACAATATTAAAGTATTCATAAGAGATATATGTTATGAGACTGATAAGCGCACTAGTCAACATTTGAGGATTAATGTTCCAAAGGAGGAAATAATATTACACCCCATATTTTCGTCCGCGAAAGTACATCGTAAGTCAAGTGATGTAAGCTCAGAAATGAGATCATATTTAAAAGTACACAAAGTAAGTTAATAATATTGCCTTGGAGGTTACAAATACGTAAGATCATGAATTGCAAGTACCAAGAGGTTTGGAAGGTTTAGAAGCTAAACGAATCAAAGAAAATAAGTTTTGTCGAAAGTCGGCAAGTTGGGAGTGTTATAACCCGTACTTTGGGGTGATACTAGGGTGATTAACATGATAAGAAGGTGATTTTATGAGGTATTTTAGTCATATGATAGTCGTTTTTTACGTTTTAAAGTCAAGCGAGTTGTGAAACAAAAGTCGACAAAAGTCGTCACAAGTTACGTTCATAAATTGTACTAAATTTTATGTTTAATTGCACTGAGCTTTTCTCCTAATGTACTTGGAGTTACGGGATGATCCACTC